GGCATTTGCAAAGTGCAAGGCATGCAATGGAGAACTGCAGATTGTTCGCGACGACCGGGAATTCGGACTCATGGTGAAGTTGCGTTCTATGTGTTCAACCTGTGGGGAGACTGCGTCGTTGTGGAGCTCGCCGCGCGTACATAGCAATGAATGTATGAAACCTTTTGCTGTGAATGTTTTCGCCGAGCATGCCATGCAGGCAACGGGGAACAGACAGAGACCGCGCTGAATGATGTGTTCTCGTTGATGGGCATCAGCCGTCGAGGTCTTCACATGAAAACGTGGCAACACTACATGAAGATGAAGTTGGCACCCACGGCTGATCGTGCTGCATGCAATATGACGAGCGACTGCACGCGGTCGTAATATAACGTAATATAGGCCACATGGGAAACATCGCGGTGTCTTTTGATGGGTCATAGATGACTCGCGGTCATTCGCCGCATATTGGTCTCAGCCCCGTCATAGAGTTGTTCAACGGGCTGGTGCTTGACTTCGTTGTTTTGAGCAACTTTTGTGCTGGATGCGAGTCGGGCCCAAAGGAAGGTGACCCTTCTTATGCAGCGTGGAAGGAACATCACCAGTGTCAGAAAAACAGTGACAAGAAGGCTGGGGAAACGGAGGTTGAGGCTGCCTTCATCCTCTTCAGGAGGTCACTTGAGCGGCACAACCTGCGCTACACCACGGTGCTTTGCGACAGGGACAGCTGCAGTTACCTTGTGCTACAAGAAGATAAGGTTTATGGGTATATCCTAGTGTAAAAAAAGGACTCCATCATTCATATCTAAAAGCGTATGGGCACTGCTTTGCGCAACTTGATTGCAAAACAGAAAGGCCCTGGCCTTGAGAGTCTTGGAGGAAAGGGCCGCTTGACAGGAGACCTGATCTACTAGCTCACCAATTATTATGGGCGGGCTCTGAAGACACACAGTGGTGGTGATGATGCTATGCACACAGCAGTGATGGCCACTTATCATCACATCACATCCAATGATGATGTGGCAAACCACACTGGTCGAAATTCCTGGTGCAAACAAAATGCGGCAAAGGCCAAGGGGGAGCCCATTATCAAACATCGTCGAAAGCTGCCTCCACATGTCTGCCAAGCCTTACTTCTCATTTATGAGCGTTTGTCAGACAGAAAGCTGTTGCAAAGACGCCAGCTACAGAAAACCCAAAATAACAACGAATGCCTGCATTCAATGATCTGGGCGCTGGCACCAAAAAAGCGACATGCTTCGCTATTCACGGTGGAGGCAGCTGTGGCAGAAGCAGTGCTCAAGTTCAATGAGGCAATAAGAAGGCATCAGAGGACATTATGAAAGAGCTGAGCCTAAACCTCAGCTGGCAAAGCCGCAGCCGCATGGCTGAAAAGGATCCACAGTGCACAGCAGCATCAGTCAAGAAGCAACAAGCAACAGAGAACATGCACCAGTCCCTGAAAAAGCGCCACACAGGGACTCATAGTCAGAAGGACTACATGCCCGGTGCATACTGAGCATTTTCAAGTGCAGTTATGTAAATGAATGAGCTTTATTTCTTTTTCTCAGTTTTCTGAAAACATGCTTTTTGGTGACTTTACTAGTTTGTCGGGTTGATATCTTGCAATCTAGAACAGCTAGAGCAATATTTTTTTATTAATGTAAAGCTCAATCTGTGTATTACAAAGTGCTGAGAGCATGATTTCCATTTGCTGCCCATATAAATATAGAAGGTATTAAATTTCTTTGTATGTGATAGCTATGACATGACTCCTCAACTTTCATAATCGGCAGAATCACTAGTTTTTCTTCAATTTGAAATCTGCTTGCATCACTGCACTTATTGCTAATTGCACTGTCTAGCTATGCAATAATATTTACTTTCTGATAAACACTTTTCTTATTGTTTCCAAAAACAGTAGGGTGGCGGTATTGTGTATCTTCTAAATTGATTGACCTACAATGAAAATTTTTACGTATTTGAAATCAGCAGGAGAAACTACATAAGCATGTACATTTTCATCATGTTTGGTCGACAAATACAGAAAATATCTCCACACACCATGTCCCCACTTAAGGGAAGACTCGAGTCAAAAAGTCGCGGTTTTCCAGAAAATTTTTGCTTTTTTTTTCCAGTTGTATTGGTTTTACTTCTGAAGATATCAAGCTGAAATTTGCACGAGAAATGATTTAAAAATGCTTCCAAGTAGGGAGCGGTGACGTGAGAAATGCGCGAATGTCACCAAAAATGGCATAGTTCGCGTTGTCTTGTCGCGAAAAGGACACATTGGCCGCCATTTGCAATCTTGCACGCATGCTGCGAAGGCCTTCCCCTTCACAATCCACTAGTAGCCAGTCTCGTATCTTCATGAAGAATGAACCAAAAACAAGAAAAACAACACATACGTTACGCGTTTTGAGCATCGCGATAAGCAGCACGAGGCCGCCATTGGTCGGCGATGCGCTCCGCCTCCTCTTCCCCCTCCTATCTTTCGGGCAAAAGAGCGAAGCCTCGGACAACACAATCGAGTTGTTCGGTGTTTCTCTGCAGTTTTGCGTCATGGCAAGCCCCGAGAAGCGCAGTCTAGATAATTGAAAGTTCAGAACTTGCCCCAAGTATCAAGGGAAACGGCGTCGGACGCTTGCCAAAAATTTTTGCATATTTAAAATCTCCATGAAAAACTATATTAATAAAATTTTCAAGTGTCTATGACTAAAAATAAAGAAGAAGTTTTTTCGAGGAGCGTCTCCCATTAACTATAAAAATCGGTGATGTTTCACGATTAAGGGGGGACGTGCCTTAAGAAACGAACTTTCTTGCTTATGGTTGGATATTGATGAAAACTGGCATAGACACTAAGAATGGCCTCACAGTGCTTTCATACCAATGTTGAGGCGATACCACAGAAACATAATGGGAATCCTTCATATAATATCGTGGTGGTGCAGGAGAATTTATAAAATGACAAGAATAGTTGCTAATTACTGTACGCACAGCCAAATGTACGCTGAAGGGAGTTGCATATTCAAGATATTTTTTTTGCAACATTAAAACTTGTATCTAACGTTTTCTACAGTGACGCTGCAATGAGCAGACTTGCACTACACACAAGTAACCCCATGAAAAATTCTTTAGGGAGTAAAATAAAACAGATTGCAGCTCCCTGAACCATGGTTCAAGGAGCATTTCAAAACAAACGGAATCAAAATCTGTACAGTGGTTGCCAAGATATCTGCTCCATGAGCTGAGCATAATGCCCCCCCCCCCCCCCCCCCCAAAAAAAATAAACAGTATTGGGAAAACTGCGTTGAAAGTTTCACCTTCTGTTTAGGTCTGTAAAACTCCTAAAAATTGTGATCTTAGGTTTGTTTTGCGATATTTTACTTCTCAGGCATGCGGAATTTGCCCAGTGTCTTTTGTTGCCTATATTTTTTTCATAACCTCCACTATTTGATCAAGAGAACAAGAATGAATTTCAAACCAAGTTCTCTGTATGAAGGAGTTGTCTGATAGATTGTAATAGAATACAGAATACAGATTGTAATAGAATAATGGAATAGATTGAATAGAATGACATAATAGATTGTAATAGAATAAGGCCACATATAGATATGATTACACATCTATCTTGTGTTCAAACTGTCATCAGCATAATGAAGTATTTCCTGATTCCAAATAATCACTAAACATATATAGAGAGAGAGGTTTATTGCACCAGAAAAATGGCTCGCAATATCACAGCCTATGCCTTATTTCCAAATAATGGATAGTTATGGGCAGAAAACTGGTGGCACAGGAATATTTTTTAGCAGTTTATTTAATAACGCGAGTAGGGCATGTAAAAATTGGTGCCCCTACTTCATACATGCTCTTTTGTCACCCAAGCAATAAAACACATCATCATACGGCCAGTTGCAGAAACCCTAATCTACGAAGCTTTCATTGTCTCAGAACATTCATAGACGCTCGCGGCGAATCCAACCACGGCTACAAGCACGTATAAATCGCAGCAAGCACAAATGCTTACTGACAGCACACCATAGGACTGTGAAGTGCGCAGCCACGTGGACAGTGCAGCCGGTGCGGGATGCACTTGGCAGCGGCGTTTGGTGATGATGCATGAAATGTGCCTATAATGACAAAAAAAAAATCTGCGCGCACTGCGCTTGGTATCCCATTTTCGTGCTGACGCACGAAACTGCTAGCTGCTGCTGTTCCGAGCAATCCTTGGCAGAGGAGCGGGGGTTGACGAGCTTGACTATGGTGTTCACTGCCGATGCGTACCGTGGCCATCCGCGGTTCTGAGGAGCTAGCGAAAAATGTACTTTGTTGCTTGTGAAGAAGTATGTTGCCACGAGTGCGCTAGTGCGTCGTCGTTGCCGGCAAAGTTCATCTCGCTGTGAGCGGAGTTAGGCCTAAAGACGATTTCGATCACGTGCCGCGCTCGTAGACCACACGCCGGCTCATAGTAATCTGACCAAGCACCCACTTACAGCTCAACACTAAAACGTAATTATATCTTAAGTGATCGCCGAGCCATGAACATGTCCCGAAGTAAAGATTTTCAGCAGCCATGCCCTCGCAGCGCACAAGCAACAGACGACGATCTCCTAGAGCGAGCATCAGGCCAATGGCAAGAACAGCTAGGGCAACATGGTGGCCACAACCAATCAGGAACCTTGAAACAACCTTACACGTTTGCTTTCTGTGCACTTTTTTTCAAAGAGGGGAGAGCCAGCCGAGGGGGGGAAATGGAACACGGAAAAATTCTCCTTCCGATGAGCCCGCTCCTGGCCGCAACAAATTTTCTGAAACACTTTTCAGTATACATATTTTGGATTTAGGTAGGGAAAGGTTTACAAAAACTGAAAACAATTTTGAAAAATAGTTTTTTTTTGCCATTTTTCATGATACGAAAGCCCTCGTCCCCCCACAGCGAGTGGTAGCATATAAGCTTGCGAAGTGTACCAAGTGACGTGGGTCGACCAGACAAAAAAGAAGAGGATTCGGATACGCACGTGCAAAATATTCCACGGTGGCTTGCTTGATAACAGGTGGCTCTAGCTGCACTTCGACCACCTGGATCTCGCATGTCAGTGGCAAGTGGCGCAAGTAGCGCAGCCGCCTGCGGAGCTCCTGCAGCAGAAACACAAGGCAAGGCACAGTTTTAAACCAGCCCCAGCCTCATTACCAGAGACAAACAAGTCTCCGTGGTGGCAAGTCATTGAAGCGGCAAGTGTTTTCTATCCAATAATCTTTATTGAACACCTTACGGACAATTCAGGCATTCACGAAATACTTGTAGATTTGTGTTAAAAAAACAAGGGATAAAAAGTAGACTAGATTGAGGGCCTATCTCGTTTGTTACACTGCCTAATGAAGTCAATAAAAAGCATAATTGCTAGTGTTTCACTTGTCGAAATCATGATGTGATTACAAAGCACGCTGCAGTGAACGAGTTTCCTGCAAGTACTCAAGAGGGAACTCTGGCACTAGTGTCTATGGGAGCTTCAGCGAAAAAAAAATGACGGGTAGTACATGGACTTGTTTAATCTTCCTACTTTCAGCTCTGTTTCTGCTAAATGGCTTGGAGATGCTTCGCCATGAAACGACAATCACCAAATGTTCAGCAGTTACGCTACAATACCATAACATTTTAGGCTCACCAATTCAAATCGGGTCACGCAATTCTCAACAATTCGTTCTTGTACTGGAAACAAAACCAAAACACAGCAACAACCAAAGCCGAAAATGCGTTTGAAGCCCGAAAGCACGAAGGCTAGGCAAATTTGTGTACTACCCCTAGTTCCCAAGGTGGCTGAATGATCGCAGACGAGTCCCCTCTAGTTAACTTTATAAAACTCTATGTCAGTGTAGGCCTCTGGAAATTCCAACCACCTGGAGCTCTTCAATGCAAGGAAAGCATAGGGAGCATGACTTGCAGCCCTTTATGTGTAGTAACAATTTGACACATGAATAAATAAAATGTCTAAAAAAATTCCTGCTGCTGAGAATCGAACCCACAAGTCTTTTGATTGTGCATTCAATGCTCTACCAATTACTACAGTTGCTCGATACCTACGCTCTTACCGTATTTACTCGATTCTACCGCGCCCTCGATTGTAACGCGCACCCGATTTCAACCGCGAAAAAAAAAAAACACGTAAGACATCGATTGCAACGCGCACCCATTTTTTCTCGCTGGCCCGCATGATCACACCACTCGAAAAAACGACTCCTTTCGGGAGCGTCTTCCATTTAAATATGAGGTACGGGCGAAGCTTGTGCCCATCTGACGTGTAACAGAGCATTGCCGTCACTGTAGTTTTACCGTGGACCGATGTCAGCACGCGAACTTGCTTCGCCCCCTTTTTCTCGACGGTTGTGGTGCCAGGCATGTCGAAGTAAAGAGGCGTCTGATCGGCATTCCCGATTTGCCCAAGCAGGTAGTCGTTGTTGCGCCGCAAGTTTAGGACGAACCTCCGAAAACTGTGAAGCTTTTCATCGTACTCCTCCGCAAAACTTTTCGCATATGCATGTTCCCCTTCAAAGGGAAAAGCCTTTCCTCTTTATAAAGTTAGTTAGCCAGCACCTGCTCGCTTTAAACTGGCTCCGCATTAGACATTTTTCTAAGACTAATTGCATAGCCCGCACTTGCAGCAGTTCTGCCGTCACAGGCCGCTGTGCTGCTCGCTGCTAAAGCACATACTCGCCGAGCAGCTCTTTAATTTGCGGAAACCAACCCTGCTGTGGTCCACTGAAGTATTTGCGTAAAGCTTTGCTGTAGAAAATCTTCTGCTTTTGTTTCCGCCGGTCCCGCACGCACGTTTCGGGAACTCCGAACGACCGCGATGCGGCCCGATTTCCGTCCGTTTCTGCACACGCGATGACTTTTCTTTTAAAAGCGGCATCGTGGTGCACTCGAGTTTTTGGAGTCGGCCATTCCACGCCGTCGATGCTAATGCACTACTAGATGAACTCCTCAGCACACGTACGAAGTGCCGCACATGAGAAACACATAGGCAGAAATGGACGACGCGCCATGCCGACGCACGATGGGGGCGGCCATTTTAGATTTGCCGATGGCAATTAATTGGCCGTAATTTTTTTGTTCGTACTCGATTCTAACGCGCATGCGATTTATGAACTCGCTTAACCGGAAAAAAGGTGCGCGTTAGATTCGAGTAATTACGGTATATCTTCAATTATGAGCAGAAAACAAAGATCAGCCAGCCAACAACGTGACACGACTTTGTATTAGAGATGAGAGCAGAGCCTGCCCAATGTGCTAAAAATCCTTTGGAGACCTTTCTTCCCCATTAGTGTTTCGTGGAGAAAAATTGAAGGAAGATAAAAAATGAAGGACGCCTCGTTCGAGAAAACTTTACTTAAGTAGATGTTTAAACACTCAGTACTCGCTACTCGATACAATTCGTATACAGCATTGTGCAAGCTACAGACATCCCCCGAAAGCCGAAACAGAAAATAATTATCTATAGCTGTGAAAACAGGACTCACAATGTCAATGGAGGCACCCTCAATCTCCACGATGCGTGCTGTAAATTTCACCGGAGCAAGCTCCAAGGCACCGTACTCGTGTGCCAGCATCCGTGCGTTGAGCGCATGCAGGAACACGGGCTGTCCGTCGGCCGCCTGAAAGTAGTAGAAGCTGTCCCCTCCAGAGACACCATCACGGCAACCGTTGTTGCTAGAGCCATTCTTGGCAGTGCCAACTGGCATCTCCAAATCCTCTGCGCCGACTACGCTGTCCTCGGCGCCACTGCTGCCGCTGCTAATGCGGCGCTCGCGGCCACGCACTTGAGGGGAGTCTGCAACATAAGCTTTGATATCACACAGATATGGCAACATTATCACATGAAAGAAGGCTACATTCATGTGACGTTTTTCACCAATGTTTATGTGGAACGCACATCAGCAAGTACCAAATATCAACAAAAGTAAATCCTACCATAACAGTACAGTCGAAACCCGCACCAACGAAACGCCGCGAGTAGGAAATCCCCGCGGCAACGAAATATTTCTGGATCCCCGGCCAACGTTCATAGAAGCCCATGTATTCCGTATCTCGCGGCAACGAAACGTTTTTGGACAGCGATCCCGCATTAAGGAATTTTCTACCAGGGTGCGGGCCTTATTTTACTTTTCCGCCGAAGGTTAACTGCCGAAAATATGCTCGTATGCGTGTTATGCGCATTTAAAATTTGTAAACGTCTGCTTTTGCCGTGCTAGCGTGGCTACCGCCATTTTTGTTTACTTAAATTGGTGATGGGGTCTGTGTCCAGAAACATGCCTGGCCACACTGTAGCAGGCGATGGGAAATGATTAGGCTGGAGTGCAGAAGGCGCCGTCGGACGAGCTCAACAGGCCGAAGCAACAACGAGCAGTTGGAATCAAAACGATGAAGAGAAGACTGGAACTGGTGGCGAAGTTGAGATGAAGTTACAATGGCGCCCGAGAAAAGCTTGACACCGGAAGCGGATTCTCCGTTGATTGCGGAAAAAGAACAGCAACAATATCATCATCATGTTAAGCAGCCTTGCAGCGACACCATTAGGGGGCGACACAATCCCATCCTGCATTGCTTCCGTCATTTCGTCACTTCCGTAGCCTCACAAACGGGAGTGCCGCGAGTTGTGTTGTATGTGGCTGTTTGCATGAAAGTGCTGTGGGTGGCTACCGGCACATCGGCTTTTGCTAAGATGCCCCCGCCAGCCAAAAAGCGGAAGTTTCTGTTGCTTCACGATAAGGCTGCTGTCATTGCCGAAGTTGAAAAGGGCAGGAAGAAGGATATCGCTGAAGAGTATAGAATTGCGTGCAGCTTGCTTTCGACCATATAGATAGAAAGGCAAAGATGCCATTCTCGCTGCGCTTGATAATGGAGCACGTGCGCAGAACAAGACGGTGGCGGCAGCGGCCTTTCTGGACGTCGATAAAGCGGTCTTCGCGTGGTTTTGTGAATAGCATGCCAACACAGTGCCACTGTCGGGGAAAATTCTACAAAAGAAGGCACTGGACTTTGCCAGCATTCTCGGGCACGACCAGTTCCGAGCGAGCGTTGGCTGGTTGGGCCGCTCTAAAGTCCCGGTGCGAAGGGAGAGCGTTGAAGTTGTTGCATGGCAAGGGTCGGCAAAGTAAGTTGACCGACTTCTGGCAATAAATTTTTGTTCTGCTGGCCGTATCACTGTTTTTATGTCTCATACTCGCGGCAACGATATCAAGTTTGAGAGTATAGTCAAAACCCGCAATAACGAAATAGCAAGGGAAACCGAAAGGTTTCGTTCTCGCGGGTTTCGACTGTACTCTCAAACTTCGTTATAGAAAGTTGCATCTGGCACAAAAATACCTCGTTATAAATATATATTCTGAACACTCCATCAATGACATAACTATTCGTTACTTTTTTTTATAATCAATAATTCGTAATATTGGGTTCGTTATCAGTTAAACCCTTTTATAAGAGGCAAGCTCTGGGTAGAAATGAGTGTACCCATTTGTCTCTTATACCAGTGTCTCTTATATAGGGGTTCCACTGTATTGAGATCTTTGAGTGTACTAAATATAAATAACTGTCTTTTCGTAATAACAGCCAAACGCTAACTGAACAGCTCGCAACATGCTGACAAGCTCTAGTTTTTTTTTTTTTTTTTAAGGGGAGAGGAGGGGCTTGAAGAATAAAATAGTTGTCTACTGGGCTCAATATTTTGGGCAATCAAACTTTCTGGCAGACTCCCAAGAGTCCAAAGTATCAATTAAATTATCACTTTAGAATGACCTGTACAGTTTCACTTTGCAGAGAGGCAAGCCTCACATACCCAAATGCCCAACACTATCAGTGCGAGATTTTTCAAGCAGCCACACTGACCTGAAAGTGGGATGTTTGTCATGTCGGGCACCTGGTCACCATTGTCGTCGTTGGTGTTGTTCGGAGACTGTTGCTGGTCTCCGCACACCGGCACCTTAATCGAGGAATGCACGGTAGAACAGAAAACAGAAAGGTTACACTAAAGCTTCTTCTGAAAAGTGTATTTTATGGCTTGTGGAAATAGTGAATTTTAGGTTCAACACGAAACTGAAGCAAATAGCGGTTCGGGCAAACAATTTCAAATAGAGTTCAAATAGTCTACATTGCGTATTATACAGGAAAATGGGCATATTTTGACCTAACTCACCTGCACTTTTTTTTTTTAAGTGAAACTAGGCCTGTGCCAATGGCATTCTTTTTGGTTCAAAGTAAGTGGAAGCAACTTGCAATAGTCACATAGCTTGACTTTCGGAATAATGAAAGTGATAACATGTAAAGTGTCCTTTTAAAATTCACTAGACAGAGCATATGAGCCAGTATAACAAGTAATTAAGGTTAAAAATACGAGGGATCAATGAGAAAGTAATACAGTAGAACTTTGATTATACAGTCGAATCTCAATAATTCGAACTCGAAGGGGCCCGAAAATTTGTTCGAATTAAAAGAAGTTCGAACTAATGAAAGCTAAATAAACGGGGGCTCTCCATGCAGTGGTGCATGTGCATTGAGCCAACACACACGAGGGGGAAGTTTGAGAAGACTTACATTTATTCACAAATCACAGGACATCCATCTTCTATTGAAGTAATCGGTGATGCGTGTCTGCACAGTTTACCTTGCAGTGATTCAATCAATTTCGCACACAGCTTGCAAAGCATTTTTACTTCGACTTCGGCATTCTCCTGGCAAGAGAAGTTGCGCGCGGAAGTGTCCAGCGCCGACAATCTCTACAGACGAAGGCAACGGCTGCGTAGCAGAGCCCCTCTGCTACTGCGCTGCTCTCCGCTACGCAGCTGCAGCATGGCCAGCATGTGACCAGAAAGGAGGAGCGTCTCCACGCAGAGAGAAACAGATCGGCATTTGAGAGAAAATCAACACTCAACTACAGTGTACTAGAAGGGGGCCGTGGAATGAACGAGGCGGCTGCGCCGCATCTCGGCTGATTCTCCGGTGGGTGACAGTAGAGGCGACGTGTAGTCGCTTGGTACTGAAGATCTTGGGAGCGTCTGCTGTGGGAGCACGCGCTCCATAGCCTGCGACAGCGTATAATTGCTCGTTTTTAGAGCGTTTATTGTGTTTCTGAGGCTTTAGTAGTGTATGCACCCCTGCTACGCGCCGTGGCGCACAAGAGATTGTGCAGGCACGCCGAAATTGCTTTGAGACATTCACTGTTTGAAGAACCCGCCGACCGCTCCCCCTACGAAAACAAAAAACAAAAAAAAAACATGCACACATGTACAATAAGAATTTGCACGGATCCTCCTAGCTTCTCGCTCAAGCAGTGCTTTGAGTTGCGCTAGATCATAAGTGGCTACTGGCGAACTACAAAGAAAGGAGAAGTATCAAAACTCAAAACTGCGACTAAATCACATGCTCGTTTTGTCGGCAGTTTTTACGATACGCAGAGCACTATTCCTCATACAAGTCCACATGTGCTCGATTGTTTCATGTGAAACCTGAGTGTAAGTAAAGTTGTCGCAACATTGATATCGGTGACTCGATCAGTTTTATCATGCCAGTTTTGTGGAAAATAGCAATCAATGCCTTCTGAAATGCTTATGTTGTGTTAACAACTTGCTTTTGTGCTTACATTGTTTCATTTATGCAAGCTCTAAGTGGTTATTATAGCAGAAGTCCGAGCCTGGGAGCCGAGCTGAAGCAACGCGTGTACCTCCAAACATATTATAAAATGCCGGTTGTATATATAGCCCGTCTGTTAATCTGCGTAAATTCACTGTAACCAGTTCTCATTTTGTATCGACTGCTTAAGTTGTGCTGCTTTGCAAATATTCTATTGATGTTACACCATTGCAAGCCAGCAAGTTTATGACGATGTTTTGTATTATAAGTGTAATTCTTTTATTAGGTGATGATTGATTGATATGTAGGGTTTAACGTCCCAAAACCACTATATGATTATGAGAGACGCCGTAGTGGAGGGTTCCGGAAATTTAGACCACCTGGGGTTCTTTAACGTGCACCCAAATCTGAGCACACGGGCCTACAACATTTCCGCCTCCATCGGAAATGCAGCCGCCGCAGCCGGGATTCGAACCCGCGCCCTGCGGGTCAGCAGCCGAGTACCTTAGCCACTAGACCACCGCGGCGGGGCAACTTTATTAGGTGTCCAAAGTGTAGGCAGGCAGTGGTGTCTATTGTTTTGAGAAATTTCACTTGAATAAGTACACAGTACACACATGCACACACACACACACACACATGCACACATGCACGCACACACGCACGCACACACAGACACAGACACACACACACATCCTCAAGTTCATCGCTCCATTAACAATATCCACGCAATAAGAACAGCCACTATTTTTCCACGGTGCATTTATCGTCCGATTACGTTAGACTTGAACTAGCTTTGAGACGTAGCTCATACTGTCGTAAAGGTGAAATCTGCAGTGCACATTTGTAGAGACACATTATATTCAGCTTCGCTAACTTTAAACTCTTAGCGCAGCGCTACCCATAATATTTTTTTTTTCTTTGAGGGGGTGGAGTGTGCAGCAGAACAACTAACTTTGGCAATCTGTGGTCGCTGTGAATGCATGTGAATATTTTAGAATAACTTGAATGGTTAAATTACGAAAAAAATCCATGGTGTAGCGGGTTCAGATTCCCTTCCTCTTCCCTTTCTACTTACGGCCTCCTGGTTCTGCTTGCATTGAAGACGGTATTTTTTTTTCATCTCCCAACTTTTTGAGCACAGCTAACTTCCGAAAAATCGGCTCAGTTATTTTGAGGGTTGTAGACGCCCAACTAACGAAAAAAGAGACAAGACAGAAGAAATCAGAATAAGGCACGTCCTTTCTAAAGAATTTTCGATCTTTCAGAAGGGTTTTTATAGAGCTCAAACTCAGTAGATTTGCGTTTCCGTCTTTAAGGGTTATGATATCATGTGTTTGACATGAACGTTGAGCCGTACGAAGAAATCTGCATCAAGAAAGCGCGCTCGAGGAGCCGAAGCGCATAGCACTTCCTGCGCGCGGCTCTTTCAGTACTACAGTAAACCCTCGTTAACTCGAACTCGCATATCTCGAAATCTCGGTTAACTCGAAACTTTTTTCGCCATGCATTAACCTCCCATAGGTGCTATGTATTTGCCCCCTCTTATCTCGAAACGTTTTCCGGAGGGAACAGTGGATATCTCAAAATCTTGACAGGGAGGGCAGAAGGCAAAGTCTACTCCCAACAGGAAACGAGGGCTCCGTGCGAACGCTTAGCTCTTACTATACGTGCCGAACGCAGTCGTGAAGGGCGAATTTGAAATTCCCGCGGACGCAGCCGTTTCCTATCAGCCTTGTCAGGCAACTGTGGGAGTGATCACGTGTGCGCACCTGCGCGCGACTTATGCGCGGTGGGCGGCGTGTGCAGCATGCGCCCGGCAGTACGCAACCTAGCCCTTGCATGTGCGAGCTGGTATTCTTTGTTTTCCTCGCGATCTATGCACGACGCATCTTGAGCTCAGTTTTGCTGAGTAGTGAGTGGTCTGTGCAACGGACGCTTCCGAATATCGACCATTGGCGCAGAATTCAGCGGCTGTGATGAGCTGTACAATGAAGTGCGCAAGGCAACTGGCTGCGTGAGCGATACTGAAGATGGCGAGATCACCTTTGAGGAGTATGCGCTCTACGAGGCCGACGTCCCCGTTACCGAAATGCTGTCGGATGCCGATATCGTTGAGATGGCCGTGAACGACGCAGATGACCATGCAGATGAGGAAGAGCCTCGAGAAGTGCCTACGACGACAGAAACACGAAACATGCTGTGCTTGCTCCGCAACAAGGTTGAATGCAGCGGTGGCGACCAACGGCTCATGCGATGTGTTGAGCAACTGGAGAACGCCTTTCTCGGACCGAACGCTAAAGCGAAACAGGCGAGCATCACGAAATTTTTTGGTCCTCGGTAATAAATTTTTTTCCCCTCCGAATTCTTGTGCCTTTACTACGGTAGCTGTTTTGTGCAGTGGGGCTTTTCCTAGCAGCACTGGCTTTTCTTTTACAGTGACCTGGGCGAACATTTTCGGCGTTTTGCTCAAATCAAAATACCGCCTATCTCGAAATTTTCCCCGGATTTGATGGCTTCGAGTTAACGAGGGATTACTGTATTTGATTGCAGCGCTGCCGCTACGGGCAACACGGAAGGGATCAGGCGGCGAGGCGCGGTCTCGCCACTAAACACTTCTAGTACACTCTATCTCAACGGCAGCTTTTTTTTTTTTTTGCTCTCTTCGCTCGCGTCCTTGAAAGGAGAAGGGTTAAGTGGCAGGGACGGGAAAGGAAGAGCGTGGCACCAGTGCTTGAGAGACCCCCTGCTCAAGGGGCATATTTAAACGTATTGAGAAAGGGTATTGAGACGATATGTAAGCCTGTGTGTACGTCTGTTTCGATTTGATAAAATGTACCGTATTTACTTGATTATACCGCGCCCTCGATTGTAACGTGCACCCGATTTCCACCGCGAAAAAAGAAAAAAACGTAAGACATCAATTGCAACGCGCACCCATTTTTCTCACTGGCCCGCACGATCACACCACTCGAAAAAAACTACTCCTTTCGGGAGCGTCTTCCATTTAAATATGAGGTACGGGCGAACCTTGTGCCTATCTGACGTGTAACAGAGCATTGCCGTCACTGTAGTTTTACCGTGGACCGATGTCAGCACACGAACTTGCTTCGCCCCCTTCTCGACGGTTGTGGTGCCAGGCATGTCGAAGTAAAGAGGCGTCTGATCGGCATTCCAGATTTGCCCAAGCAGGTAGCCGTTGTTTCGCCGCAAGTTTAGGACGAACCTCTGAAAACTGTGAAGCTTTTCATTGTACTCCTCCGCGAAACTTTTCGCATATGCATGTTCCCCTTCGGAGGGAAAAGCCTTCCCTCTTCATAAAGTTAGTTAGCCAGCACCTGCTCCCTTTAAACTGGCTCCACATTAAACCTTTTTCTAAGACTCCCGTATTTACTCAATTCTACCGCACCCTCGATTGTAACGCGCACCCGATTTCCACCGCGAAAAAAAAAAAAACGTAAGACATCGATTGCAACGCCCACCCATTTTTCTCCCTGGCCCGCACGATCACACCACTCGAAAAAACGACTCCTTTCGTGAGCGTCTTCCATTTAAATATGAGGTACGGGCGAAGCTTGTGCTCATCTGACGCGTAACAGAGCATTGCCGTCACTGTAGTTTTACCGTGGACCAACGTCAGCACATGAACCTGCTTCGCCCCCTTCTTCTCGACGGTTGTGGTGCCAGGCATGTCGAAGTAAAGAGGTGGCTGATCGGCATTCCCGATTTGCCCAAGCAGGTAGCCGTTGTTGCGCCGCAAGTTTCGGACAAACCTTTGAAAACTGTGAAGCTTTTCATCGTATTTCTCCGCAAAACTTTTCGCATATGCATGTTCCCCTTCAGAGTTTGAAAAAGCCTTTCCTCTTCATAAGTTAGTTAGCCAGCACCTGCTCGCTTTAAACTGGCTCCGTGTTAGCCCTTTTTCTAAGGCTAACTGCGTAGCCCGCACTTGGAGCACTTCTGTCGTCACGGGCCGCTGTGCCGCTCGTTGCTCAAGCACATACTCAGCGAGCAGCTCTTCAATTTGCAGAAACCAACCCTGCTGTAGTCCACTGAAGCCTTTATGTGAAGCTTTGCTGTCGACAATCTTTTGCCTTTGTTTCCGCCAGTCCCGCACGCACTTTTTGGGAACTCCAAACAACCGCGATGTGGCCTGATTTCCGTCTATTTCTGCACACGCGATGACTTGTCTTTTAAAAGCGGCATCGTGATGCACTCGACAAGTCTTTGGAGTCGGCCCTTCCATGTCGTCAATGTTAGTGCACTACAAGATGACGAACTTTTCAGCACCTGTACGAAATGCCGCACATGGGAAACACATTTGCAGAAATTGCAGACGCGCCATGCTGACGCACGGAGGGGGCAGTCATTTTTGAAATGCCGATGGCAATAGAATGATCGTATTTATTAATTTTTTTCCTACTCGATTCTAACGCGCATGCGATTTATGAACTCGCTTAACCAGGAAAAAGGTGCACGCTAGATTCGAGTAATTACGGTATAGAAACCAATATGCCAGAAGACTACAATAATGATAGTGAACATGCAAAATGCAGTGGTATTTTGGAGAACAGACAGACAGACAGATGAACTTTATTTGCGTCCTGGCAAGAAGCATAACGACTTCAGAGACTGAAAAAAAGCTGACGAGACCAAAGTTTTGAAGCGCCTCCAGATGATCCAAGACTCTGCGGTAAAGGCTTCACATGACCATTAATGGTTGGTCTTATCACCTGGAACCATCACAGCTCAATCCTCCCGGCAGACATTTAGTGAACTTTTCAAAGGCATCTTGGAACATCACTTCATATCAGTCAAGTCGCTTGATTTCCCTCGAACCAGACACTGCAACCGTGCCAAATACATTATGTGAACTCTTTCTCTCGCTCTTATTTAAAGTTTGGTTTGGTCTCATTGTGCATTTTTCCTGCACATAAAGGGATGTTCAAAAACAGCGAACAACCTACGTGAGGTTGGTTTAACTATTATCAACATCAGATTGAGCATCTCTAACCACATCTTAAAGACGAGCAATGTACAATGAATCCTTATTATAACACATTCGGTAATGCAGCGTTAATTCAAAGTTGCACATTTTTGAAAATTATCCCAGGACAGAACTTTCTGCAGTACCGAATACCATAAATACTCGCGTTTAATACGAACTTGAATATAATACAAGGCGAAATTTTAAGGGTGGGAAATTCAAAAAAAAATTGTACACGTGTATACAACGTTGTGAAAGGATCACCGAAAACACACTTATTGATCACACATCTGCCGTGTCAATCGCTGTCATCTTCAACTACGCTTTTGTCTTCTGTGCCATCAAGGGCATTAGAGATGCCACACTTCTTGAAGGAACGATGCACAAGATCCTCTGGGATGCTTTCCCAAGCGTCTACGATTCATTTGCATAGCATGGCTCGCGATGCCCGTTTCAGCCGCCCGGCGGCGTCACTGCAGGCTCACCTGAGCGCATCGACTCGGCGTAGCAACGCTTAACCACATCCTTGAACGGCTTATTTACACAGACGTCGAGATGTTGCAGTTGAGATTTTATCCCACTCGGCATCACGACCAGTTCCGTGCCGCAGTTGCGCAAGAGCCTCTTCACAGAATCGGCCAAATAGCAGCGAAACGCGCCCAGCACCAGAATGGATGAAAAACACAGCAGGGCGCCAGGCCGTCTGCACCACACGGACTTTACCCAGTCTAGGACAAGGTCTTCGTTCATTCAGCCTTTATCGTGACATCTCACGATGACATTATTCCATAGCTCCTCCCCTTTCGGCATTGTCTTGCGCTTGAAGACGACATAAGGTGGGAGCTTGTGGCTGTCCGCTGTGCTCGATAACATGACTGTGACACGCGCTTTTTCATAGCCGGTGGTACGGACACTAACCTGCTTTGAGCCCTTCTCATGAACTGTAAGGGGTGATGGCATGTCCAAGTAAACTGGCGTTTGATCGGCGTTGCCGATTTGTCCCAAGCGGAAGTTCTGCGAGCGGCACAACATAATCACATGGCGTTGAAATGAGATAAGACGCTCTTCAAAGGCTTCAGGGAGCTTCTGAGAAATGGAGGTCCGCCAGCACAGGGAAAATCTAGCTCGGCACGTGTAACGGTACATCCAGTGCTTGCTGGCTTTGAAGTCCGAGATCAACATCTCTTTTTCTCTCGCCAACCCCCTCGCTTTCATCTGCATCAGCTCCATGTTGACTGGCAAATGCACTGCCCTCTGCTCTCGAATTAACTCTGTCAGAGCAAGTTCAATCTATTTGAAAGCACCTTTCTTTGGACCGCGACAGCTTTTTCGCTTTCCGCTGCACGCGAGAAGCACTTCTTTCTGTCGTCGCCATCCTTGGACACTTCCCTTGATGACTGTCTTCCGGCCGCACTGTTGCCGATTTCCTCGGCAGCTACGATGACCTTTTTTTTTTTTTTGAATGCAGCAGAGTACTACTTTCGGTGCCCTGGCATGTTGCACCTTTGCGAAGCGAGGCACAGAACAAAGTGAGGTTCACAGGTGCACACGTCCGCTGTACAAGTACATGATCAAAAAACTCGACAACAAAGAAAAAAATTGCGCTAGCGCTCACTTTTGCCACGCCAGGACGTGAAGGTAACGAAGCCAAGCTGTAGCCACTTGTAGACAAAACGAAGCTGTAGCCAAGCGGCAGTCACGAAACCGAAACTTCAAGAACAACTTCGTTTTTCGAGCAAGTTTTTGTTCGGACCCGCACATAGTATGAAGCGGAAGCGGAAATTTGAAACGCTAATGTTAGGAAAAAAACCTCGTATTATATGCGGGTATTCGCGGTAATTTCGCGTTGTGTAATTTCAATCTGGACACATTTCCAAGCCACCTTCCAAATAGTATCTCAAAATCTTGACAGAGTTCGCAACAACTTTCGCTGTTTCCCCGGGTTAGCATGAGGCTGCTAAGCTTATGACAGTATGAATGCTGTCCTCAAATGTGAAATGAGAACCTAGAGGACAAACAACTATGACAAGAAAATTGGGGTGAATTAATTTGAATGGACTGTATTCGAAGCGACGAAAGTGACACCGTAAACTATTCGCATTCTTTAAAGTAAAATAAAAGTGAGTCAAGTACATTTGAAAAGATCAGGCAGAAAGACATTTTTTTGCAGAAGGCCGCACTCACCTCGACGTTGCCCTCTGCGTCCACGGTGGGAAGCTGATCGCCTTGGCTGTTGGCGTTGACATCCAGTGAGCCCACCTCTTTCTCGAGGTCCTCCCTTCGTCGCTGCAATGCCTGCAATGCATCGCAAGCCAAGCACCAGGTTAGTTGAATGCCTTCCGCTGCACCTGCAAAAACTTGAGTATGCCTCCACCACAAGGCTGCTCCTGCATTGCCCTGAAGGTGTATCAAATCAAGTGGTGGCTATCCATTCTGGTATGCCAACTATATTTAAACGTACTTCCTCAGATAACTTGTAAATGCATGCTTTCAATGTAGTGAGCCCTGAAACATTTTCCACACACCCTTTGTTAACATGAAAAGTGTCACAACTGTTTCCCTGGCAGCCATAGAGTTTTCCGTTTATACAGTTGAGCCTGGATGTAACGAACCTGAATGTAATGAATTCCTGGATATAACGAATTTTTTTCAATCCCAGACACCATCCCCATAGAAGCCCATGTATTTGTGACCTTTATGTAACGGCGCTGGGGTAATTGACCTAAATGTTACTAATTTTTGGCACTGATCATTTATTTTGAGTCGTAACATTGCTAAAATCTTATATGTACAACGCACAAGTTTTATAATACGAAAATTAATAACACAAGGGGGCAGCCGCAGGTAGAAAGTAAGCTATTGCAGCAGGCAAGTGCGTGCCGCGATGATACAAGCATCGCTGTATAGCTTGCGCCACGTAACGGCGAACGGAGTTTCTTTGTGGCAAAGCCTATGAGATGGTAATGCGGTGCGTTGTCTGATGACCCTACTGCGCCGAACGGATGAACGAAACAGTGAGATGGGTGAGGTGCGAGCATTCCTTCATGGCCGTGAGGCGAGCGTCAGGCCTTCCAGGCATTTCCTAGTCTCTTGTTAGGCCTCTAAGCTGCCTCGTTGTGAAAATGAGCTCTGTGCCGAGAAAGCACAAGGTTCTGTCTTTTGAAGAAAAGTTTGCGATTAAAAACGCGGTTTCCGCAGGTGAGAAGAAGAAAGACGTCGCTGCGCGATTTAATATTCCAGCCAGTTCCCTGTAGACAATACTGAGTGCGAAAAACAGCATCCGCGAGGCAGCGGAGTCGAACACGGGTGTAAAGAAGACTGGAGAAGTCAGCATACGCCGATGTGGACAAGGCTGTCTTCTCCTGGTTCCTGGACACACGGGCATGCAAAGTACCTATAAGTGGCATAATTCTGCAGCAAAAAGCGAAAATTTTCCAAGTATTCTTGGCCATGACGATTTCGAGGCAAGTAACGGCTGGCTGCAGAGGTTCAAAAGCAGGCACGGTGTCGTTGGTAGAGTGATTAGCGGCGAGTCCAGATCTGCTGACAGCGATGCCTCTGCCTCGTGGGTGGCCGAGAAGTTGCCTGGCATCTTGACCGCTAAGAGGCGGCAGACTTGTACAATGACGATGAAACGACATTGTTCTATCAGATATTGCCGAATCGCATGCTGGAGCTCAAAGGGCGCGATTGTCGAGGCGGCAAGCAGAGCAGACTACGCGTCACCGTCTTGCTTTGTGCAAACAGTGACAGCAGCGACAAAAGGATACCATTAGTTATAGGAAGAAATGCCCGGCCAAGGTGTTTTAAAGGCACAAAGCGGATGCCAGTTAAGTACATGGCCGATTCGAAGGCCTGGATGAGCAAAAAAATTTTTACTGAATGGCTGAAGGCATTCAACGAATATGTCAAGCGTCAGGGTTGCTAAATTTGTCTATTGCTTGACAATTGCTCCGCGCACCACATCGAAGGCCTTCAGCTGTCGAACGTCGAGCTGCAGTACTTCCGTGCCAATCACACGTCCCTAATACAGCCGCAAGACAAAGGGGTTATCAACAGCTTTAAGTGTTGCTATTGCCGTCGCGTCATTCAGAAGATGCTCTTGGATATACGCTTTGAATGGCTAACAAAAATAGACATTTATCAAGCCATCGAGATGCTTGCCGCTTCCTGGCAGGAAGTGAAAGCTGACGCAGTTGCCAATTGCTTCGTGAAAGCTCAGTTGTCAGTGGTCACTGAGTCCGGAGTCGACGAAGAAGAACCCCAGGAGCCTTCGAATCCATCCGACATTAGTAAAGCGTGGGATACACTTCGCGCAAATGCTGGAGAGCCCGACGAAGTTATACTTGATGACTTTTTGTACGCCGACAGGGATGCAGTGTCTACCGAATAAATGTCGAATGTGACACTTCTAGAAACTGCCCAAGATCGCGGTGATAGTGAAGTTGCTTCAGAGGCAGATCCATCGCCATTGCCTGCCGCGAAAGAGATCTTGGAAGCGCTGGACGCCCTGCGCAGTCACGTTGGTTCACAAGATGACGAGGCAGCATTGGACGACTTGGTTTCTCTCAACGGCCGCGTACCATTATCTTTGACGCGGAAGACGCAAGCCAAAATGACAGTTTTTTCAGGCTAAATAAATATTTTTTGAAGTGAGTGGCACTGTATTGGCATCCCCTGCATCTTCATTTGGTTTTCATGATCGTTTCTCTAGTCTTTAGTTAAAAACTGCATGTAACAAAAATCTGGATGTAACGAAAATTCGCTAACTTTTTCCAATTTCATTACATCCAGGTTTAACTGTACACTAGAGGCATGGTGTATTGGAATGGGGCAGCGTATCATCTTCACAGCAAACGAATGGGACGATGGTTTCTTTCGCGACGACGCCACCTGGAGGGCGCCACCATAGAATGGTGGGCCCAACGGCATAGTTCGAATTTGCATTGCTGACCTTTGTGCAGTTTTTGAGTAAAATAGTCGCATAACCCGATTGAAATTAAAAGTATCTGTAAGGTTAAAATACATCCAACACATCTGAATGCATCAATGAGATAAATAATGTTCCTTTTCCATAATAGAGCTCGCAAAATTCCTATTACAGAACAGGGACCCAGATTGTTCGCTTGCTTACAGTTTTGATTTAAAAACGCGTAAAAAAAGCACATCGCTCTTCATTTTACATATTTGCAACCTTGTCTAGCTATCACACTAAATTGAAGTCATGCAACAAAACAAACGAGGAGGCACTGAAGGAGAACGTTATGGGGCGAGTTCCACGACCACCACTTACCTGCATGAGCCAGAAAAGTAAGCAGTCGCAATGTTAAAAAAGAAAAAAATCCTATTTACTAACTCCTCTAACTTTTTATACATTTTACTAATCATTTTTATACACACACTTTATGACCAGCCCAACAACTACAACTACCAATCTCGGAGGCTTTTTATCTAAGCTTCTCATAAATTACATCAAAGGGCCCTCACACGTGGCGACAAAGTAGTACAGGGGTGCTCCGGTAGCACTGGCCATCATCGCAGAAGAGCCATGCTTTCAGTGCCAGACAGCACACTGCCCTATTCCAGTACACCACACTAGAGGGCACTCTTGCGCTAGTGTTTACAGGAGCCGCAACACAAGGCGCCTCAGCAAGCATGGTAATTATGGGTAGTGCGAGGAATCGCCTAATTTTCGTACTTTACGCACTAGTTGGCTTCGCATGGCTTGAAGCTGTTTAGTCACAGAACAATCGGCAAAAGTTTATCAGTTACGTTTCACCACCTTAATCGATTAGGCTTACCTATTTGAATGGGATCACGAAGTTCAAATCGTTCATTATTGTATTCGAAACAAAACTGAAACAATGCAATGAACGAAGCCACAAGTGTAATTCGAGGCCCGAAAAGACTAGGCAAATCCATGTACTACTTATAATTTCCATGGTCGCTGAACGACTGCAGCGCCAGAGTCCCCTATAATTAATTTTAGGAAGCTCAAAGCAGGCAGCCACCATACTTAATTACCGGGCAGAGTTCTGCTAAACTAATACTGCATTATTTAGAGCTTACACGGGTGACCAGGGAGAGACAAACAACACTTTCACAAGACAGATTACTGAATGGCAACATGGTACGCCTTGACGGGCATAACACGATTGGTGTGTCCTCCTTGTCGTGGTGTTTTTTTTTTTTTTTAGAACATTGTGTAGTCCCCAGCATACCCTTCCAACTTCATTTTTCTCATTGATCCACTCAGTTATGTTATCGCTATCGCTGTTGAGTGCTTGCCTGCAGGGCGGCCTGCACAAAGCAGGCCTCGGGGGCGTCTCCTTCCTCGAGCAGCTGGGACCGCAGTTCGGACTCCTCCCGGTCTAACATGGCACCCAGCTGCTTAGGGCACGCCACAAGCACCCTCTGGTGGCACGTCAGTCGCTCTTCTGCACACCATCAAACCAAAGAAAGAGCTTCAGTGTGGCAGTGTGCAATAAAGCAGTGACTAGCCGCCAAACTTTCACAGAACAGTATACAGCCTCAACTGCAGATGCACAACATAAGGCATTTAGAAAGGGAGTGAAGGTGACATTTTCTCCTTCTCTTTTATTGTAACTATGTATAAACCCTTTTTCGTAACTTCATCACCAGGAGCTACAGCTTGTGCAATGAAATGCAGGCCGTGGATAAAACACACTGGACATGAAAATATCTGTAGCCCCCTGTGAAAGGAGTCATATGTCCAAGTAATGCAATATCAACAGGTAATTCTTTTTTTTTAAATTGACTCCTGACTCTCCAGGAGTTAGATGCTTTCAATTCAACAAGTTTGAAGCAATTAGGGGTGAGCGAATGTTTGAAATTTCCAATATATTTTCAATAGTGTTTGCTATTCGATTCAATTTGCGCAGATTTTTTACTTTTTTTCAGCTATTCGAACTTTTCTAGGACATGTACTGTCATCTGATTAAAAATAATTCATTGAAATTTTCAATATGCTTCGCCTTATCGCACTCTTGTATTATGGTAAAGCTGCCTTTCAAGCTGTGCTGCAGTTGCAAATGCATTGACTGGAGAAAACGCTTGTTCCTACATTGAGATGACAGATGTGGCAGAGGTGGGGACTTAATTAATGGCGCTTTGGATTCGAAATTCGGGCATGAAGTCCAAGAAATCTCAGCCGAAGATATTTAGCGTCCAAAATTTTAGATGTTCTTATATATTGCTGTCTACGATGGCGATTTGGAACTCCAGACTCGAAGGGAGCACACCCTTGTCCAGCCCATCAGTAGGGCTTCCACAAAGGAGAAGCTGAGGAAATATAGATTTCATCATCACTTCACAGTTTTGTATTGGTATTTGATGCTTTAGATAATGCTGCTATGGTAAACATGTTTTTCTTTTTTAGTATAGATTGTTCTCTTTTGATTTTGTTTTCTATCTGTTCACTCTTTTAGCTGCTGTTAGCTTTTTATGTTCGTTACTAATTATAGGAGGCCCCCCTGACAGTCTCATACTTGTATTATGTAACCCATTTTTTGTACATGCAATAATAATAATAAATAAACTTGAACTTGAACCTCTGTTTTTCACGTCTGCAGTGTTGTTGGCAGAAACTTTGCTACACCGAATCATGCATATGAATACATTTCTGCATTGCCTCATACTTGATAACACAACTAGGAAACACCCTCCCCCCCCCCCCACCCCGCCAGCACTTCATCAACCAAAAGAAAAGAAACATTTTCATGTTGCTATCTAATAATATGCTTAGGAATTCCCTCAAACTTTTTTTTTTTCTGCAATATCGCTTCAAGGTATTAAAAAAAATATTCTACAATTATTCAAAAGATATTCAATTCGAATTCGCACTTGCACTTCAAACATTGAATTCGCTTCACGCCCAACATTTCACCATTTGCACAGCTCTAATGGCAATATCTCAATAATCCACAAGCAGAGCCCCTAGAAGATAGCACGAGACGCCATCGAAACAACAGGCTACCTTAGCCTCCAAGGACACGATGATTCACGCAGTCTCAAGGTTACACTAAGTTGGACAGACAGTTGATATACATATGGTGGTAACTTGGCCCATTACTTTACACTCTCGTTACGTGGTGGCTGTTGTTGCCTGGGGTACGAATGTCAGAGCTGGCACCAAGGCAAAGCTTGATTCTGAAATACTAATTGAAACATTCTCATTAATCTGCTTGTTTTAAGTGTGAACCCACATTAACTGCAATAACCAGGTGGTTGTACAGTCGAAACCCGCAATAAGCAAATCGCAGGGGAAACCGAAAAATTTTGTTTTCGCGAGAATTTCGTTGCCGCGAGTATGAGACATAAAAACAGTGATACGGCCAGCAGAACGAAAATTTATTGCCAGAAGTCGGTCAACTTACTTTGCCGATCCTTGCCATGCAACAACTTCAAAGCTCTGCCTTCGCACTGGAAAAAGTGGTCCATTGCTTTGTCGCCGTCATGTGCGCCGAAAAAGCGAAGGGTGTCCTGCGCATCCAACACAACCCGCGGGTTGTTTCCGATGCGCTAGCGCGTCTTCCTGCCCGCAGTCTCACTGTCAGCGAAGTTAGAGCTAAGGCCGACTCCGATGACGCACCACGCTCGTAGACCGCGCGCCCGCTCGTAGTAATCTGATCGTGCATCCGGTGCGGCCACTCATAGTAATCTGACAGTGCGCAGCTTACAGCTTTATTGCTTGCGATGAAGCACGTCGCCACGAGTGCGCTAGCGCGTCGTTCCTACCTGCAGTCTCGCTGTCTGCGGAGTGAGGGCTAAAGACGACTCCGATGACGCGCAGCGCTCGTAGTAACCTGATCGCGCATCCGCCTACTGCTCCTAACTAAAGCGTAATTATATCTTAAGTGATCATCGAGCCGTGAACACGTCACGAAGTAGCAATTTTCGAGAGCCATGTCCTCACGACGCACAAGCAGCAGACAAAGATCCCCCAGAGCGAGCATCGGGCCAATGGCGAGGCGAGCTGAGGCAACATAGCAGCCACAGCCAATCAAGGGCCTCGAAACGACCTTCAAACATTTGCTTTTTGTGGGCTTGTTTTTAAAGGGAGGAGCCAGCTGAGGCGGGAAAGTTAAAACGGAGAAATGCTCTTTCCAATGAGCCCAAGAAGCCGGCTCCCGGCCCCGCCATCGCGAAGCCACAATTTTTTGAAAATCGCTGTTTTCTCGCGATTTCCAGACGTTTCGCTACCTAGGTGGGTGAAATGAATTTCCTGAAGCACTTCTGCGCGGTTTTCAGTGTAAATATTTTGGAATCAGAAAAAGGGTTTCAGAAACTGAAAGCTTGATTTTCAAAAAATCGATTTTTTTTCCATTTTTTGCGATCCTAAAGCCGCGTCCTCCCTTAAGTAAACAAAAATAGCGGTACCCACGCTAGCGCAGCAAAAGCAGACGTTTACAAATTTTGAGTGCGCATAACACGCATACGAGCATATTTTCGACAGTTAACCTTTGGCGGGAGGGTAAAATAAGGCCCGCACCATGGTAGAAAATTCGTTAAAGCGGGATCGCTGTCCAAAAACAGTTAGTTGCTGCAAGATATGTAATACATGGGCTTCTATGAACGTTCGCAGGGGATCCAGAAATATTTCGTTGGCGCGGGGATTTCATACTCGCGCGGTTTCGTTATTGCGGGTTTCGACTGTAAATCCAGAGAATTAAGGCACCCGAAAGCAGCACAGACAGTTGACACTCTCCCCGAATAAAACGAGCATCGTTCCCACCGCGGCTAATATTGAAGGGCTCTAGGTCGTCCACCCTCCAAAGGTCAGCTGGCATGGGCTGGGCACCGGGCTGGTTCTTCTGGCGACGCATCAGGCACATTGTGATCTCATCACCAGGCTGGTAGCCCCTTCGTGGCTGGGGGACCACCCTACGCACCAAAAAGTAAGCCAACATTATGCACATAACGTAGAAATATCCAAGCCTATATAACCTCTATATCAGTAAATTTGGTGATGAATGCGTGAGCCAGCCTTCAGTGGCTTCTTTGAATGAAAAAGAGATCGCGCTTTTGGATAGAGGTTAGCCCTTTTATCATTGGACCTTCGTGTTTATCGGACACTCCGCTAAGTCACGTTGCTCACGTTTGCTTGTCGAAAGATTTTACCTGTTTGCATGTATCAACATTAGTGCTGAAATTCAGTTGGTAGTCAGCGCTCGTGTTGTCCCTCTTTGCTCTTTTCGTTCCTCCCTTTCCGTACGCTTTTTCCAGCACTTTCGTACTTGCGCTGCAACCCCTACCCCCCGCCCACATAGAATTAAACCAACTAGCCCAAATAGCAGTTCTTCTTTAGCAAGGTTAAATACAAACTTGAGTTTTTCTATTGGGGAGAGGCACACGTGCCTGCGGAGCTGCTGGGCAGAAAACGCCCGGTCGCAGATGGGGCACGGCCGGTACGGTCGGTCAGACAGGGCCAGGTAGTGGAGCAGGCACGACCAGCAGTACACGTGTCCGCACGGGGGCATCTGGGCCGCACGCGGAGTTCCCAGGCACACTGGACAGCGCTCCTCCTCCTGGCCGGTCGTGCTCTGCTGCTGCAGCACTCGCACCTCGTGCACCAGCTCCCAGGCGATGGGCACGTCCGGATTCCAGCGACACATGGTGCCCTCGCGCACCACAAACTGGCAGCTGCAAGGTTGGCAGGCATTGCGGGCAAGGTCAAACACAAGGTGAACGTCACATTTCTCTCGACACACTCGGGCCATAATAGAACTCCGTGCCTGCTTTCTGCACATTTTATAACAGAGTTCTGAAAAGATATCAATATTCAAATGAACAAAATAAAAGACGGAATCCAAGTGATCAATCTGGATTTTAGTGCATATGCGAAGCCAAGAAAGAAAACAGGAACAATTTCATTTGGCAGCAAGTTGTTTATCCATTGTTATTTGTGTTCCAATTACTGCCCCTCAAAGCTACAAGTAACACCCGACACCCCCCCCTCTTTTTTTTTTTTCTTGGCTTTATTATCAGCTGTTCTATGGCTGACATTGGAAAGTTCTATGTTATGAACAAGACTCAAGTGACCAAAAGAAAGTAAACCACTGGCATACCAACACAAGCTCAGCATTAAAAGTGCCTTGCGTCAGCCACTGTGTTCCCAAGATGTCATCAATTACAAAAGGTTCACGTAAGCAGCACTCAGTCAAATCCCTCACACTTGACATGGAAAAACGCTGCAGCGTATTGCATCCATTATGCTGTCTTGACAAGCGTGCAAGTGACAAGTAGACAGCTTAGTTGCAAAGCGACAAAGGAGCCAAGCGGGTACCCCATAACCCTGCTGTAACACTGATTGGCTGGCTCAGCACTGAAGCGCGGCCAAGGTTTGGTCCTCATCTCGCAACACTAACTTTGTGTGCACTAGCCCTTCAGCTAAGCAACTGTCCACAAATTAATGGCATAAATGTGTACGAGTGGAAGCGGCCGTAAACATCAATATACAATTGCCCGACAAAAGCTAGCCTCTCCAGGTGTATCCATAATTTTTTAATCAGAGCTCAATTATTTAGCCACTATAGTGCACTCCCTCATTGCAATGGCACACGCGCTGCCCTCGCCACTACTCACTTGGCCTGCAAGAACTGCTCCTTGGAGTGCTTGGCAGGAGGTGGCCTGCTGGAGCGGTGATGGCCAGACCAGTAGTGGTGGTGGTGGTCACTCTCTCGGGGAGTCAGAGTGAACTTCAGCAGGTGATTCAAGTTCACCTTTCGGTTGCCCTTGCGGAGCGCTTCTTCCACGCAGTCATCCTGAATGCTGCGTGCTACCTGCACATGCGACATTAGGGACAACGCATCAGACTGGGAGAAGCTGCACTGCAGCCCTGTAGGGACTCCAAAGAGATGCATTCGATCACTTTTCCATGGTAAGTAGGAATGAAAAACTGCTTTCATGGCCGTGGAAGCAAATAGTGGTTTACTAGCCTAGGAAACAAATGCGAGACACCCCATTTTTCTATTTCTCTCCAGAAACTACGCCAGTATGTTGGCGCAGCAATTCTTTCGAAGCACTTTGCCGTACATAGAGCTGCATCATTTACAGGGTTGTGCGGTTTACATCCGCACCAACTCTTTTTTACTGATGGGCAGAGGAGTACACCAATTTGGCACTGGTTGTTTCTGGGTGTTCATCTTGAAAGGTGGTCCTATAAGGTTTTGCAAAGTGCCTTAGCCACTGGGTACCTACCAGTAAAATAAGCACACATATAGGTACTAGTTGCTTGGGAGGGCACCCATCCTGTTGGCAATTGGCAGCATAGAACTGCCAAACTTGAAATAAGGTCATCCACTTTTTCTTATTTCCAGCTGGAACATTCACCGTGCTCGGCTCTTGGCAGCTGTGAATCGTGTGCAACTGAGTTTTAAAACTGCCTTTGCTATAATGTTGGTGCTGGTATTGACACCATCGAGGCTTTCTTTACTGTCATCTATCAACTTCCTGATCTTTGGAGTACTAATCACAGTCATTGATGCAAGAACCAGAATTCAGACAGCAAATAGCATCTTATGCAAAGTCTGGAACCGCACAAGCAATTCTCCACTATACTCAGCGACAACGTTTGTTGACTGCACTGTGAAGGGTGCAGAAATGAAGCACATGCTTGCTACCGACCCCCCAAAATTAAAGTAATAAAGTTTACTGATAATTTCTCTTTTTGCCTTGCTAGAGTAGATGCTGCTTTATTTATTATGAGACAAATAATTTCGATGATGATGATGATGTTTGAAGTTTTGTGGCGCAAGGGCCATTTCACGGCCAAAGAGCGCCAGTTCATGTTACTAAGAATATGGACAATGATTGTGATAAGCGGCTGTATAAAGGCCATAAAATTCCTCACGGTAAGGCGGGTAAAAACATACAAGTAATAAAATCATGACCATGCCGTGAAAGGTGTGTGTGGTGAGGATAGATGACAAGAGTTGGTGATTATAAAAAACGATGGTGGATATGAATGGCATTAGCACAAGTGCCTCACTCGTTCATACCCTTGCGTCCAAGGGCCGTGAGGCAAGTGCTTTCTTGTGTAACCGCCGCAGCAAAAACCTCTCTAGAGAGGTCGTGCTACGGAATGCCCGGGTGTATGATATGAAAATTATTAATTTCTTTTAAAAACGCTAACAATGATTTATGACTAAAAAGCGGTTCCCTACCAACGAAAATTGCAGGGTGTAAAGGTATATGTTGTCGGTAGGGTAATGTAAAATGTTGTTTTCTTATAGTTTCTAAGTGTTTACACTGGAAGGACGGTTAATGGTTCACCACATCTGTCACACAATGGTGGATCGCCACCAGACAAAAGATATGTGTGTGTCGTGTATGTGTGTCCTATCCTGAGTCTCGTTAGTATTACCTCTGTATGACGCGATTTCGATACAGGCAGCCAATGACCAAGGTGTGGCTTAATATGTTGTAGTTTGTTTTGTGTGTGTGTATCCCACTTGCTCTGCCAGTAGTCCCGGAGGTTTCGTTTGAGAGACGGCTTAAGATCAAGGGCCGGGATTGATATGGATGTAATGGCGGTGCTCTCATGGACGGATGCAGCGAGCTGATCCGCCCTCACGTTGCCTTGAATCTCACGGTGCCCTGTCACCCAGCACACTACAACATGTTGTTTGTGTAGAGTGTGCTTAAAATGGAGTAAAGTGAGACAAGGACTGGGTTTTTGTGTTTTTTAAGAGTGTGCAGAGCCGTTACTACACTGAGGGAGTCTGTATAAATTTTAAGAGTGTGCAGAGCCGTTACTACACTGAGGGAGTCTGTATAAATTACTGCTTTTTGTATTTGTAATTGTTTGATGTGTTTAGCTGCCACAAGTATCGCGTAAGCTTCCGCTGTGAAGATACTTGTGCGTGGATGTAGAGGGCCAGCATCCGAAAAGGATGGGCCGACAGCAGCGTAGGACACAGAGGAGTTAGTCTTGGAGGCATCTGTGAAGAACTCAGGACGTGTGTATTTCTGTTGAAGTTCCAAAAAGTATGTTCGGATATGGACAATAGGTGCATGTTTTGTAACTTCTAGGAAAGACACATCGCAGTCTATAGTCTGCCACTGCCACGGTGACGGGTATGCTACAGGAGCCATTAAACTGTGTTCAAGTGACACTGCAGTTTCTTGAGCTAGACACTTCAGGCGAACTGAGAAGGGCTGCCTCATCGAAGGCCTGTTTTGAAACAGAGTTGAGCTCGACAAATCATTAATTGTAGAGTATGAGGGGTGCTCCTTTCTGCTTTCACCTTAAGGAAGTAAACAAAGGACATGTAGGTTCTTTGCAGATGAAGCGACCACTCATTTGACTCAACGTACAGGCTTTCTACGGGGCTGGTGCGAAAAGCACCCGTAGAAAGGCGGATGCCCAAATGGTGCACGGGGTCCAGCATCTTCAAGGCACTTTGAGTAGCAGACTGATAGACAACGGCCCCATAATCTAAGCGGGTGCGAATGAGGCTTCTATAGAGGTTCATGAGGCATTGCCTATCACTACCCCAAGTAGTACGTGACAACACTTTTAAAACATTCATGGCTTTTAAACATTTTGTTTTTAGATACTTGATGTACGGCACGAAGGTCAACTTGTTGTCCAAGATTAGGCCTAAGAATTTATGCTCGGCTTTGACGGACAGACGTTGCCCGTTCAGTCGAATGTCATGTTCCGAGTGCATGCCTCTCTTTCGAGAGAACAAAACACACGTGCTTTTTTGTGGGTTCAGTCGGAATCCGTTTTCCTCTGCCCATTTGGAGAGCTTGTTTAAACCTAACTGAACCTGCCGCTCACACAATGCCAGATTGCAAGACCTAAAGCCAAGCTGGACGTCATCGACATATGTGCAATAAAACATATTGCGAGGGATGGTCAAGCGCAAGGAATTCATTTTTATGAGAAAAAGTTTGCAGCTAAGTGCACCACCTTGTGGCACGCCTGTTTCCTGAACAAATGTTTGGGAAAGAACCGTGCCCACTCGGACACGGAATGTCCGGTTCGACAGGTAACTTTTGATTATGTGAAACATTCTTCCGCGCACGCCAAGGTGGGAAAGGTCTCTTAGAATTCCGAAACGCCATGTTGTATCATAAGCCTTTTCGATATCGAGGAACACAGAGAGAAAATATTGTTTATGGACGAAGGCGTCTCTGATCTGTGCCTCGATACGAACAAGGTGGTCTGTGGTGGATCTACCTTCTCGAAACCCGCACTGAAATGGGTCGAGCAAATTATTTGTTTCAAGGAAATGTACAAGTCGGCAGTTTATCATTTTTTCGAAGACTTTGCACAAGCAGCTTGTAAGTGCTATAGGCCTATAACTCGAGGGTAAAGAAGGGTCTTTGCCCTCTTTCAAAATGGGAATAATAATAGCCTCTTTCCAGGAGGTAGGGATAGCACCAGAAAACCAGATAGCATTGTACAAACAAAGTAAGGTTTTTCGTGTTTCGATTGGTAGGTTCTTTAACATTTCATACACCACACGGTCAGAACCTGGGGTAGAAGTACTGCAGGAGTTTAGAGACATTTGCAGCTCAGCTAGACTGAAAGCTTGGTTATATGCCTCGGATCTAGTGCATTTGTGTTCAAGTTTCTGCTTTTCTATTCTTGTTCTGTATTTTTGGAAAGTGTCAGTATAGTGGGATGAGCTGGACACCTGTTCGAAGTGTGCACCGAGGAAGTTTGCCTGATCTTCCAAGGTATCACCCCGAGTGTCCACGAGTGGAAGTGTGTATACTTGTTTTCCTGCTACCCTACCGACCATGTTCCAGACTTTAGCCTCCTGTGTGTATGAATTGATCCCTGACAAAAACTTCTGCCAGCTTTCTCTTCTGGCCTGCCGACGCGTTCTCCTAGCTTGAGATTTTATTTTCTTGAAGGTGTCAAGATTTTCGGCTGTCGGTGAGTTCCGAAGCAGCCTCCAAGCTCTGTTTTGCTGTTTGCGCGCGTTTCGGCATTCAGAGTTCCACCATGGCACGCGCCGTTTTCCTGGGTGCCCATTTGTTTTGTGGGATGCATTTTGTTGCAGCATCAATCAAAAAAGCTGTGAGGTAGTCGACAGCAACATCAATGCTTAAAGTACATATGTCACTCCAATCTATACGAGCGATGGTATGAAACCGTTCCCAGTCGGCTCTGTTTATGAGCCATTTGGGTACACGGGGTGTACACTCAGTTGCTGTAGTTGTGCTCAAAACTACGGGAAAGTGGTCACTTCCGTACAGATTACTGACGACTTTCCACTGGAGTAGAGGCACAAGAGATGGAGACACTATGCTTAGGTCTATAGAGGAGTAGGTGTTATGTGCGAGATTATAATAGGTTGGTTCTTTTCTATTTAGGAGACATGCGTTCGACGAGAGAAGGAATTGTTCAATCAGTCGACCTCGCGCGTCGCAACGAGTCTCTCCCCATAGCCTGCTATGCGCATTGAAGTCTCCAAGGAGAACATAAGGCTCCGGAAGTTCATCAATTAAAGAGTGTAAATCACGTTTTTGCAGCTGATAGCTAGGAGGAATGTAAATAGTGCAGATTGTGATTAGTTTATCAAAAAGAACCGCTCGAACAGCCACTGCCTCAAGGGATGTTTGGAGTTGTAAGTGTGTGCAAGCAATTCCTTGATTCACTATGATGGCAACACCTCCGGATGATGTCATGGCATCATCACGGTCCTTTCGAAAAATAACGTATTTGCGAAGAAAATTTGTGTGTTTTGAATTAAGGTGTGTTTCTTGTACACACAGCACTTTTGGTGAGTGTTCGTGTAGGAGTTCTTGGATGTCGTCAGGGTTTCTGAGAAGGCCCCCGACGTTCCATTGTATAATTTGAGTGTTCATGGTGAATGTAAAATAATGCTGTGTGTACGAAAAGCGAGTGGCTGTTTAGACGGGAAGTTTGAGTTCACTTAACAGGGCCGTCACCAGGCCCTGTTATTTGCTTTTTTGTTTTCTTGGCGCGCTCCAAGGAGCCACGCCGCTCTTTCGGCACCAAGGGTGCCGACGTATCCATTGCCTCCTCGGAGGCACTGGATGCCCGCACGTGCGGGCTGTTAGTTTGGATTTTGGGCCTCGCCTGGTGAGGGGAGGCCTTGAGACCCGAAGACTCTGGAGTCTCCGGTCTCTGTTTGGGAGTAGGCGGTGTAGCCTGGGCTACAGCCGCCTTGGGGGCAGGTGCCACAGCCGACGGCTCGCTCTGCGCAGGCCGAAGGGGTGGCGAGGGCTGGGTGCGGCGTTGCCCCCTGACGCGCCGCATCAGCATATGTTGCGCCGTAAAATGGCGACACTCTTCGTCTTGCTTCTTTGAATGTGATGTTTTCTTTGACTTTAAGAGTGATTATTTCTTTTTCTTTCTTCCAGTTAGGACACGAACGCGAATACGCGGCGTGTTCCCCGTCACAATTCACGCAGTGAGGCGTAAAAACACAGTTATCAGATGGGTGGCCGTGGCTACCACATCTTGCACAAGTTTCCTGACCCCGGCAGTTCTGCGAGCCATGACCAAATCGTTGACATTTATAACACCGTCTTGGATTGGGAATGTAGGGACGGACAGAGAGTTTGATGTATCCTGTGTCTATAGATGAAGGCAGTGTGCTAGATGCGAAGGTGAGTATTAAATGTTTGGTAGGTATTTCTTTGTTGTCTCGTCTGATGACGATTCGTTTCACATCTGTGACATTTTGCTCTTTCCACCCTTCAAGCAGTTCCTGTTCAGACATTTCAAGAAGGTCTGCTTCTGAAACAACTCCGCGTGAGGTGTTCATTGATCTATTAGGTGAAATAGATACTGGGATATTACCAAATGCTACGAGACGGCCAAGTTTTTCATAGTGGTGTTTTTCAGGCAGCTCAAGGAGAAGGTCTCCGCTAGCCATCTTTGTAACCTTGTATCCTGGGCCAAAGACCTCTGTCAGGGATTTAGCAACAAGAAATGGAGATATTACTCTGGCTTGTTTTGTTGGGTTTTCGCTGTGCACAACATGGAATTTGGGAAAGCATTGTCTGGGTTGGCTGAAAATTGATATGTCATCGGTGCGTCCCCTCTTAGGCGGGAGACGATCTAGGAGACGGGGAAATGCAGGTGTTCCCATAGTAGTGTACTTTTTGTTCGGCAGCAATGGCGACCACCCACCACGGAGTCCAACCAGGGGACGCTGAAGGACTTAATAGCATAAGGCTGCAAACGCCAGCCGTACATTGCCACTATAACCAAATATAACTACTCAAGGTTGAGTAATTACACAAGGTTAACCCTTGCCGCCATGAAAAATCGGAAGTAAATGGAAGAGAGAAGAAGACAGGACAGATTTAAAGACGAGAAAAGACTAAGATGTAGGAAGAGAGAGATAGGAAAAGGCGACTGCAGATTTCCCCTGGGTGGGTCAGCCCAGGGGTGCCGTCTGCGTGAAGCCGGGGCCAAAGAGGTGTGTTGCCTCTGCCGGGGGGCCTTCAAGGTCCAATCACCCAGCTTTGGCTCAACCCCCAGGATCCCCTTTTCCCCGAACACGGCAAAGCCACGCACGGCTAGGCGTGGGAGGGAGCCGAAACTCCCCCGTTAGCTCGGGTCCGTGGTGTCGCTACACACCAAACGCCTACTTGCGCAGGCGCCCCTGCGGAGCAAATAATTTCGAGAACTTGGCAAGAATGCCTCCCTCTCCTTTCTATCTCTTAGATGGCACCCCCTTTCAGCACGCTCATTTTTTAAAGTAAACATGTCGTCCATGACTTACTGGGTTAGCGTTCAACCGCAAACTCGTTGTTTAGTTCTCTAGGAAAAATATACTCGTAATTTGGCACTGTAATGTACATTGAGCCATCAAAATGTTTCCCCCATTCGCATTTTCATGTATGTTGTGTATGTAGAATGAATTAACGTGTGTGAGCAAAAGCTGCAGGCTTCCATACTAGCAGAGTGACACAAATGGGCAGAAGACCCGCCTCCATAGCCTTCACTCCAAGGTCAAGAAAAGTTTTTGCCATGTTTAGTATCCCGAAAATTGTCTAGAAGCCAGCCACTGACCTGACTGCGCTGTCCCTGTGAGTTCTGATGAGATGACTGCGCAGCACATTGGGGCTGTCCCTTGGGCTGAGGCCTCTTGTCTGGTGTCGAGCGGTTGCGCTGTGGGGCAGGTCGACGACCCTCCCCCTGCTGGCCACCCCACTTTCCGCGGCGGCCTCCTCCTCCTGATGGACCACCACCCCCGCCGGGCCACTGCTGCTGCTGCTGCTGCTTGTTACCCGAACCATCTGCACCAAACACAGAGGGAGAAAGAGTTTTTTGTAATTTTTCACAAGAACAGGTATTTATATCACATGCAACACGCTAGTGGTGCTGAAATGAACTACGTATAGTCTAGGGTGTTTCGGAAGACTCATCTATATCACATGCAACATACTAGTGGTGCTGAAATGAACTATCTATAGTCTAGGGTATTTCGGAAGTCTCCCGTCTGATAGTCCACCAACTCAAAGGCAACTTCAAGCTGCTACACAGACACTTTCTATACACGGGTTGCATGTGACATCATTTCCGGCTGGAAAAATGAGCAACCCCATGTTTGTCAACATTGAGTCAAACTAGTCTGGTTCACGGTGTAAGAAGGAGAGGTGACCGAACGACTGCGGCGAGCCGCCGCGACGAGCGCACTCCGTAGCGCTCGCAGTTGGCCGCCTCTCCACTAGATGGCGGGCGTCGTTCTAGCCCTCTCGAGCGGCCGCTTGTTCAGCGCACCCCGTAGTCGAGTGTGACAGCAGGCGTCGGCTTCGTTGCTTTGTTCCCGCTATTTTATTTGTCACACCTCGCATGCGTGCTTTATGGCCTCATAAGGCATCAGTGACATGAGGAAGTGCTCCGTTCCGCAGTGCAACAGTGGCTACAAGTCGTGCAAGAAGAAATTCTCGCTCTTCAAGCCGCCCGCAGACGCCGAGAAACTCACGGCATGGAGGCGAGCGATCCCATGAAAGGACCGTGTTCTGACCCGGAAGGACCTTGTGTGCGAGCGGCATTTTGCTCCACATTTCGTGGTGAAGACGTGGAGTGCCGAGTACAAGGGACATATCCTCATGCAAGGTAAGCGTAGAGCTACGTTGGCGAAGGACGCGGTACTATCAATTTTTGATGGATGCCCCGCTTACATCACGAAGAAAGTGAAGCCTTCGAGAAAACCGGTGAAGCGGAAAGCTAACACCAGTGAGCTGCCAGCCAAGTCACGCAGCCTGTCTCCCGGGAATGGAGAATGCAGTCACAGCGCAGCAAATGCACTTGACAATCCACCGGAAGGTGATGACAACACGCTTGACTTAACAGAGAACAGAACTGGAATTGCAGAGCTTCGCCCATCCGCCTTTGACGTATATTTTGAAAGTGCACCGTCCGCGCGTCTTCCCGAATCCTCATGGGCTGTATATCGCGTAGATATGAAGGGCATTCGAGATATTGTGTGCTCGAAAATGGCTGTGAAGCAAGATTCTGCGGCAGCGAATCTCTACATATCTAAGGCAGTGCACATCAAAAGTGACATGAGTGTGAACATAGTTCTGCTCGGGAAGTCCCTCAAACCTGCCGCCGCTGGGCTAATTGCGAGCGTGACAACCCTTTCTGATGTGGAACAAGTTGTGAACGCCGTAGAAGCAATCAAGGTTTGCTCAAGAGGACCGAGCATCAAGGAATATCCCAAAGCGGAGCCTGAGTGTGCTTATGGCGATCTTCTAGGAAAATGGAGGCATTCAAGGTGCACAATGACAGTGGCCGAAGGAAGTGTTTGCAAGGCTTGCAGCTCTCTGCTCTCTTTGTGACACCCTCCGCATCCATACGTCTCGTCAGGTGGCCAGAAAGAAGGGACGGAGGGTGCTTCAGCGCATTAGGATACCGGTGCAGTCTAAAGAAAGGGGAAAAATTGAAACGCTCCGAAGGGCCAAGACGTCACTGACAAGGTCAAAGGCGCGCCTTTTGTCAAGGAACAAGGTGCTATAGATGGAACTGAAGCAGTCGAAGAACAAGATGAAGTCGCTTCAAAATGAAGACCTCCGGCACCGCCTGCAGCAGCACGACATTCCGTCAGCACAGCTACTTCTCATTTCAGAGTGTCTTTCAGCAGCAAAATGCACAAATAAGAGAAACCGAAGATACACAGATGACTGGCTGTTACTGTGTGTCCTTCTTCATATCCCCAGTTCCTCTACGTACTCGTTCTTGAGGAACAATGACATCCTCCCGCTGCCCTGTGTCACCACCATCAGAAAATACGTCAGCATGATGGGACTGAAGTGTGGCTTTGATGAGCGGTTTCTCGCAGCCCTCACAACAAAGATGGCAACCAAGAGTCCTATGGAACGAAGAGGAATGCTGGTGCTTGATGAAATTCAAGTCAGGAAAGAACTGGCCGTGAATTCGAAGACCATGACATACTCCGGGTTGGTTGACCATGGGCAGGACGATGGAGACTGTTAGGAGCTTGCCGACCATGGAATTGTATTTGCTTTTGCTCCATTTGCTGACAGCTATCTCGAGCCTGTTGCAGTTTTTGCATCGAAAGGACCAACGAAAGGAACTGTGCTTTCACAGCTGCTCCTCCAATGCATCCTGAAACTTGAACAAGCTGGAATACGCATCGATGGAGTTGTTTGTGATGGTGCATCAACCAATCGTAGCATGTGGAAGCATTTCGGAGTTAGTTGTGTTTTGGGAAGTAACACCAACTCTTTTGAGCACCCATCTGACAGTTCAAGACAAGTTTACATGCTCTCAGATGCACCGCATTTATTTAAATGCATTAAAAACCGCCTCTACAGCAAGAAGGAGTTCCACATCAATGCGAAGTGTGTACGGTGGTCATGCTATGACGCTTTGTATGTAGCAGATACAAAGCACGCAGGGGTTGAAAGAGCAGGCCCGAAAATCACATACAATCATGCGAACCCTTCAAACATGTTGAAGATGAGAGTAAAGCTGGCAACGCAGATATTTAGCGAGTCTGTTGCCAAGGGGCTTCAGTTCTACGCTAAGCGGCGTGCGCCCCGCTTGTATGATATGGAGCCCACAGTGCAGTTTACTCTACTCATGAACAATCTGTTTGATGCCTTGAATCGTCGGTATCCGGCTGAGGGAGTGCGACTGGGTGGAAATGACTTCCAAGTCATTGAAGACGCGTTACAGTGGCTTGACAAATGGGAAGAAGTTGTCAATGGAAAAATTCACAAGGACTTCTTTTTGACTCCCTCTACTGCAGAAGGCTTCAGGGTGACTTTAAAGTCAGTTTTTCAACTGTGAAGTTATCTACTGACTGAGTGTGGCTTTGACTACATCCTAACAGCAAAACTGAATCAAGACCGCCTCGAGTGTTTCTTCGGAACGATTCGGCAAGCTGGAGGTCAGAACGAACACCCTACGTTCTCTACATTTCTCCAGCTTTATCGCATGCTTTCCCTGTACACCCTTCTCAAACCACCAAAATTTGGGAACTGCACGGTAAATGCCGAAGAGAAAAGACCTTGCATCACTCTTGGTGATATGAGGTTGGCATTTCAGCCAGATGAGCAGCAAACGAGCAGGCTTGACAGCCTGAGAGCAAGACTCAATGGACTCATTGAGGAAGGAAGTTGGGAATGTGAAGATGTCCTGGAGCATGACTACAGTATGGCAGATACGGTAGATTGCATAATCTACTACGTCACCGGTTATCTTTGCAGAAAGATTGGTAAAAAGACCGTGTGTGCTACCTGCAGAGATGGACTCATTAAACAAACTGGATTCTGTGGCATTCCAGAGGCAGATCTGGTGAATTGCAAAACGCGTGGTAAGCTCATCCATCCAAACTTGAACATATACTACCTCCTGAAGGCAACGGAAAAGGAGTTCACGAAACAGCCCAGCGACAACTGTGTGTACAGTAAGACACTGGACCATGTGCTGCTTACATATCCTTTCATGTTCCCATGTTCCCTGCACAAAGCAGACGTAATGGCAAAGGTGCTGCACTACTACATTTGCTTGAGGATGCAGCAGCACTGCAAGCAGCAGCGACAAAAGGAGGCAAAGAAAAGCCAAGAAATGAGGAAGCGGGCCAAGCTTGTCCGAGTTGCTCTGTGCTTTACAGTGACCTAGCTGTGCTACAGTGACAGAAGTGACCTTGCTTTTTGCTTTGAAGGCACATTAAACAGGCAATTAAAATTGAGAGAATCTGTCCTATTATTTATATGCCACCGAAACCATGAAATAAAAGTCCACCATTTTCTTATTTGCATTACCAACAAGTGAAACACCCCAATATACTATGGTCGCATGATTGATTCACGATACTTGCTAACATTCAGGAAGTACATGTAGCTTGTTAGTCTTCGTAAATTAGACTCGGAAACCAACAAAAGCGTCTTCCCAGAAACCCGCTAGCGGTAGCGTATATATTTATTGTAAACTGAAGTAGGAAGTTTTAGCAGACGATGTTTCGAGCGCAGAAGGCGAAATGCGCGAGCCACCGCGAACTGCCCGTTGCGGCTCTGCTGATGATCGTTGTGAGCGCCAGCAGCTAGCGAGATCTGTCGAACTAGTTGCGGGGCAAGCCCTCGTTTGCGATGTAAGGAAAAATCTACGATCATAATGAACCCCAACGGCTTCTATTTGCGGCTTAGCAAGCCGCAAGCCCTCCGTCCTGACAGGGCCGCTTCGCGAAGCGATGGGCCGCAGTTTGTGGCGCCATCTGCTATCGCGCCGGAGAACTCCGTCCATTACGGGGCCGCGCTACAGGAGCGCCGTTCAGTCACCTCTCCTTCTTACACCGTGGTCAGGCTGCACGTGCAGCTTATTGCCGGTTGGGAGCTTGTTGACATCATTCGTGCGATATGGCAAAAGGAAACGTGCACGCGCTTTGCCCGTCGTACTTCGAAGAGTTTGTGGGACCGACTAGTGTACGTTACCAAGCGAAAATTAAAATGTGCGATGGCATATCGACCCGTACGAACTGTGCATCAGTAAGGATGCTACACCGATTTGCTGCCTTCCGTGACGGCGACATCGTCGACAAGTGGTGCCTTTGACAAGTTACGTCACACAAATGAAAGTCTGCTAGTCGCTGGACGGCCAGAACTACTTCGCCATGCAGTGGATGGGTGAAGAGGAGGCTTGTGCGAATAGTGAATTTTAGGTTCGAAGCGAATTCGAAGCAAATAGTGATTTTGATCGAATAACTTCGAATCGAATTGAAATGATATGTATGACATAGAAAAGAAAGGAATATTTATCATGACCTAACTACCCTGCACAATATTTCTTTTGAATTGAAATAGGGGCTCTATACAAATGCCATTATTTTTCTTCGTTTCTTCAACACCTTTTTTTTTTTCTTTGAATACGCAGATTTTCAGTGCGATCGCGCACTCGTGAACAAGCGGCGACCTCGGTAACGACGAGCGCGCCATGCTCAAATCGGCCAATGGCTGTAACCAGAGCCGTATATTCCTTCTTGGCTGTGACAAGCGATTTTTGAGCTTGTAGTGTCATTTGCCGAGGGAAGAAAGCAATTTTTAGCTTTGAAAATTTATTGTGAATTACAGGCCGCGTGCTGCGCTATAATATTAGCCTCGCATGTTCTCGGTAGCATCAACTACCAATCGCCAGCGTTTTCTGACCATGTTCAGCAAGTGTTTGAATTTGAAGGGGGGACTTCACGGCAAAGCGAATTTTCCCTTGATAGGTGCTTTCACGGCTAAGCATTCCTACAGTGCAGTGAAACCACCTTTACAGGCAGTGACATGCGGAATAATGTATTTATTATTCGTTCATTGCGAATACTTCGAAAATATTCGATAATATAAATTCGAATCGAAGCGAATTCGGATACTCAACTATTCGTTCGGATATTCGAAGCATTCGAATATTCTCACAAGCCTAGTGAAGTGCATGGCAGCAAAGCAGCTTCCATCACAGCGTGTCGTTCTAATCGAAGATAATCACGACTGTCTTTCCCGGTTGAAGTAAAACATGAGCTTCGATATGATATTGTAGTGAGGAG